GCTGATCTCAAAGACAATAAGATTATTAACACGTTTCTTTTGCAATTTGCTCCTTTCGAAATTACGTTTAATTAAAAATATCCTCTCCTCCTCCAGTCGAGAAATCATGTTCGTCTAATACTCAAAATATAAAAAAATAGTACTTAAGCTCCGTGTTGCAGGCCTTCAAAATATTCTCCCAACTACGCCTTAGATATTGTCTTTTAAACAATAAGTTCAAAGGACAATAAGTTCTAAGTTCAATGCGAAACCCCTAGCTCAAATCATGTCTGATTTATTACGTAAGGAACGCTTATGCTCCGCTCAAGTATTTACTCATGTAGGTTTGGATTTTGGTGGTCCCTTTCTAATAAAGGCATCCAACCTTCGTAAAAGTCTCTTAATAATGTCATACATAGCTGTTTACCTGTATGACCATACGTGCGGTTCATATGAAGTTAGTGGGCTTACAACAGAAGCGTTTCTTCTTACTCTCAAGCGCTTTATTAGTCAAAGAGGTCTTCCACAGACTACATTCTCTGATCTAATAACTGATAACTTAAAATCAATTATCCAAATTCTATAATTTTTTGAAAAATAATCAAACAAGCTCTTCGATTTAGGAATTGTTAGGTTCCTCTCAAATTCGATGAAAAAACAATTACACCTCGATCTCCTCGGCATAAAGAAGTTTGGGAGAGCGCTCCCAAAGTACTTAAGTTACGGACCATTTGTGCCCTCTCAAATGATTCCTCCAATTTCCCATACCTTACTCCTGGTTACTTCTTAATCGGAAAGTCTCTCACCTCGTTCCCCTACCAGGAGTATACATCTATCCCGGAAAATAAAATTAGCATCTGGCATAATCTCTCTAAACTCCAGCAACTTTTTTAGAGAAGTTGGTCGACTTATAACCTGAATAGACTTCAAAATCTTTTAAAATCGTTTCTCTCTTTTAAAAATTTGCAAGCTAATGATCTTTGCTAATTAAAGAAGACAATCCCTTGTTTCTACTGGTTATTGGCACGAGTGATGGAAGTCTTTTCAGGTAAAGATGGCCGAGTGAGAACTACATCGGTTAAAACTAAGGATAGGATTTTCAAGTTCACGAAAAAAATCGTGCCCCCTTTCTAGTAAAGGATTAGGTTAATGTTATTATTAGTTTTAGTATTTTTACTCATTTGTTATAGGAATTTGTTTAGTATTATTCATATTGTTTTCTATGTTCTCATCTTTAGTGCTTTTTATAATGTTAACGCTAGTGCTTCAATGGAGGCAATATGCTGTAAAACAACCTGTTTATAATAATGTAATCTTAGTTATTTTACCAACTTGTACGCTCAGCTCTTAATGTATGCGAATTTACCGCACCCCCCCTCATGCCCATCAAGGTAAAGACCGGGTGAATTGGCGAATAGAGCAGTAAATACATTGCTGGTATGGGAACGTAAAATTCTTCGAATGATATATGGCCCTTGCAGAGACAGCGTGACAAACGAATGGAGGGGCAGATACAATAACGAGCTAGCGTCTCTATTCGGAAAAGAAAATCTAGTCAGATATATAAAGGCCAATAGACTCAGATGGGCAGGACATGTGATACACAGTAACGACAATCGCCTTATAAACAATGTGTTCTGGGAAAGGCCAGATGGAATAAGATCTGTAGGGCGGCCTAGAAAAAGGTGGAAAGATGCAGTCAGAGAAGATCTAGAGAAGATGGGAGTGCGACAATGGGAATTACTGGCACAGGACCGACAAACATGGAAGGCAATAGTAAACGCGGCAAAGACTCACGAAGATTTGTAGCGCCATTTATGATGATGATGATGATGATGATGATGAATTGGCGCTCCCGTTTTAAGTGCGTGAGTGATAGATGCGCCAACGTGTAGAACGGGTGTTTTATGTTAAATCGAATACCAGTTTTTTTTTTCTGAATACTCTGTTTATATCTTTGTTACTCCCCCTAGCACTGTATATCTAATTATATTTGTATAACTCGTTTTGTCAGTATCAAAATTGCGATAATTGTCAATTTATTTAATCAGCCATTAAGGATAATATCAATAAATTGAAGAAAAAACGGGTCTTTATGTTTTATTGCTTCAGTGTTTCTTAAATATTTTGGAGAAATTAGGTGTACAAGCCTCTCTAAAATGTGGAAAGTTTGGTAATAAATTTATCCTGGCCACCAATATCCTTGGATATTTAGTTAATCAAATAATAAGTTCAAATTCAATAATGGCATAGATAGTAATAGGGAAATATTTATATAAATATATTGCAAATTTAAGGATAAGATAATAAACGGTCGATATTAGAATACTTATATTTAATATCTCAACAAGTCTAGACACTCCAAATTTTCATTTGTTATCGAATACCGAAGCCTAACTTTGTTAATTTTAATCTCTATCAAACTCATTTACAACTAATTTGTATAAGAGAAATAGTTTATTAATAGAAATTTGTATGCTTTGCTGAGCTCCAAATGTATGACACTGTATATATTGACAATTGAACTTATAAGCACATCTAATGAAAGGTTAACATGTTTTTACGACATTAATGGGTCTTTATTTCCGGAAACATTTTAATATTAAATTTTTTTAAATCGTCCTGATCTGAATCTTGGTAAACATATTTTTCATAAAAACTTGATAAACATATTCGAGTAGATTATTTGCTTCCAAATCGAAGTAATAAGCGAAACTAAACCAAAATATCGGAGAGGGCCACAAAAATCCTGTTTTTTTTATAGCCCTTTTTCTATTCGAACTGTCAAATAAAGGCCTCTCCCATTTCTCGCCATTCATCCCTGTTGTGTGCTAGGCGTTTCCACATTGGTCCTGCGACTCTTTTGATATCGTCGCTCCAGCGCATTTGAGGTCTTCCTCTTGGTCTCTTCGCATCGTACGGTCGCCAGTTTCCAATTTCTTTGTTCCATCTACCATCTTCGAGACATTCGTTGTGTCCAACCCATTTCCATTTTAATTTAGCTGCTTGTTTGGCGGCGTCCTTTATTTTTGTCGAAAGAAAATGCAAAAAAGTATTTTTGAAGTGTGTATATTTTAGGCAATTCCTAGCTGAGCGCTTTCATCTTTACAAAGCCATCATCAGAGCTATGGTCAATTTTTTTTTAAATACCACTACAAAGGAGAGATCTCATTTCCTTAAATTTCAAAATTATGATTTTTTTAGTTGGAATTCTTAAAACATATAAAAAACATATAAAAAGCCGACACTGGACTTCACAAACACGTTAAAAAATTAAAAAAAGTTTTTGTCATGGTACGAGTGTAAGAACCCGACCATTGATTGATGTGAGGAGGTATACAGAATATTTCTGTATACGGTCGCCAAAGGGAAGATAAATTGCAGTAGCAAAAGTTAAAGTAAAAGCCTATATAAATTTATACCATCAACTTAATACCAGGAAAGGAAAAGCAAAGATATATAACATATAGTAAAGAAATCAAAAGATTTTAATTGGATTATACACATCATAATAAAATACTAAAACGAAAACTATATCAAAAAGAGATGGAAAAGGTATTTTGACAGTTTAATAAATGAAGAATTTGGCTGACAATTATTTAAGTTATCGGAGACAGTAATAGCAATAATGACCAAAATAACAAACGCAGAAGTGGTTTAAAAGACTTCAAAAAATAAAGAAGGAAAATCTGTTGGACCAGATAAGTTATGGAATTTGAACAAATGTCAGACAAATGGAGAAGCAGTATATTAGTATTCACAGAAACAAAGTCAATGTATAAAAATGTGTAAACAAGAGTGTCATAAAACTACTTAGTCACACCATGAAAATATGGAAGAGAGTAATTGATAACGTGAAAAAATCGAAATATTCGATATTTAGTTTGGCTTTACAGACAGATTAACAACAGATGCAATTGTCATTATAAGACAGTTAATAAAAAAATAAAGAAATAAAGAAATAAACGCTCATATGGTATTTATAGATCTTGAAAAAGCATATGATAGAGCTCTTCTAAAGATTTTTCTTCGTATATGAGGGAGTAACAGCTAATGTTGGGAAAGATATGGGAGAGACTGATAAATTTCATGTAAAAGTAAGATTGCAACAAGGTTTGGTGCTTAGTCCATATTTATTTTTATTAGTTTTGATACAAATAACAGCAAAACTACAGGGTCATATTCCCTGGTATATGCTGATATTAAAGTGTTAGTAGGAACTAGTAGAAGTGACTTGGAATAAAAACTGAAACAATAAAAACTCTCTTAAGAAAAAAGGTATAACACTTAGTAGCACAAAATCATAGTATTTCGAATGTTTATTTAAAGTAATTTAAAGTGTTATCTTTGCATGGTGAAATTATTGTAAAAATTAATAGTTTTAAGTACCTAGTTACTACAGAGGTATGGGAAAATATATGGAGATGCATGCAGTAGAATTAGGGTTAGATGGATGTAGTGTAAGAAAGCGAGTGGTATGTGGTGTGACAGAAAAATTACAATGAATTTTTAGGCAAATTAAAGCAATGTAATATTTTCATGGTAATTCGCATTTTTGATACAGCTTCTCTAAAAATATCAGCTGAAGGGCAGTTCAACCAAGCTTTTAAATTTTATTCTTGCTTGTAGTATTAATTGGAGCATATTATAATGCTCGTCGTTTATGACATGTCCCAGATAATGCACTGTTTTCTATTTAAAACCACTTTCTGTTTTTTTATTCTCTTCGACACCTCGACACACGTGACTCTATCCACCCAACTTGATCGTAATATACTAAAAATAATGTTCTATTAAACGATAAAAAAAAACAAAGTAAAGTCATTTATTTTTGGTTATAAAATAAAATCAACCAAGCGAGGAACTTTCTATTGATTTCACATTTTAAGACCTTTTCGACAAGAAAATAGTTTTAAAAAATTACTATATTTAAAAAATTATGGTTATCTTAAAATTTGATTAGCTATAGTTTTATCATAAAACTATAGAAGTTATACATCATTTATTGATTTCTATTTTAGATCTTCCCTTGACCGGTCAACAGTCACCATGTACAGCACATGCAGCCTTAAAGCAGCTCATAGAAAAACTCCTCCACGAAGTAGCAAATTTACCACAACTACAACGACCTCAACAAGGTACAGCAATACCACCAGATCTGAATAATAGAACATACGAGGACTTACTTGCTACGGCCATATTAAATAAGGTAACGGCTAATTTATGCATACTATTACTTTTTTTTGGCATTCGGCCAGACTCAACATGGTAGAAATGGTTGTCTGAGTTTATATTAAAATAAATATACAAAACAATAAACAGGCAAACAGGGTCACTCTCTTCTCGCCTAGGGGCCCATCAAGGCATTTTTTTCAAGACATACAACACTAGGCCACGGTAAGAAAGGAATTTAATAATTGGGTTAGAAACAAAGGTTACGTTATTAACTAATGCATAATTATTTACATGGTTATTTTACTATCTTTTAAAAACATAACTAAGGATTATGTTAGTTATCAACACAATCTGCCGACAAGGGTCCTCTTCATTGATTTCAAACAAGCGTACGATAGAATAAAACGGAACCAAATGAGCAAAGCACTAGAAGAATTGGGTATCAGTAGAAAACTTATAAGAATGATACAAATAACGTTGTCCAAGACTGAGAGCAGAGTTAAAATAAATAATATAATGTCGGAAAAATTTGAAGTCAGTGAAGGAGTAAGGCAAGGAGATCCCCTATCATCGATACTATTCAGCTTGTGTTTGGAGAAGGTCATACGAGATGCAAAAGTCAACAGAGAGGGATTGTTATACCAAAGAAAGCACCAATGTCTAGCCTTTGCAGACGATGTAGTAATACTGGCTCGAAGCAAATGGGAGCTACAAGAAGTAGTAAAGAGGCTAGATAGAGAGGCAAAGAAAATAGGCTTAACCATCAACGAAAGTAAGACAAAATACATGGAATGGATAGATGACAGTGAACAAAAAGGAGGAAATCTAAAAATAGAAGTAGAGGGTGAAAAAGCATATATATTTGAAGCAGTGAAAAGATTTACATACCTGGGGTCGATGTTCACATGCAAACCAAATATTAGAGAGGAGCTCCAATCAAGAATAATGGCAGGAAACCGATGCGTATACTCCTTAAACAGGCTATTAAAAAGTAAACAGATATCTAGGAATGCCAAAATAAGGATTTACAAAACAGTTATACAACCAGTGGTAACCTACTCCAGTGAAGTGTGGACACTGAACAAAGGCGAAACAGGTATGCTCGAAATATGGGAAAGAAAGGTTTTGAGAAAGATATTTGGAGGCAAGATAGTAGACAATACATGGAAAAGAAGAACAAATAAAGAATTAGAAGATATGTACAAGAATCCTAGTATAGTGGGAGTAGTAAAGGCTCAGAGACTCAGGTGGCTAGGGCACATAGAAAGAATGACAAATTCTCGAGTACCAAAAATGATTCTGATGCATACAATGGGTACAAAAAAAAGAAGAGGAAGGCCGAGAAGTAGATGGAAGCAAGAAGTAGAGAAAGACCTAGAAACACTGGGAATAGAAAGATGTAAGGACAAGGCTAATAATAGGAAGAAATGGAAAACAATAACAGCTCAAGCCATGGGCCTACTAGGCTCGTAGTGCTATTATATATATATATATATATATATATATATATATATATATATATATATATATATATATATATATATATATATATATATATAAGGATTATGCACTGCTCTCAGAGCCCAGTGATCTTCTTCTTCTTAGGGTGCCTGCCGTTCCGAACGTTGGCGATCATTATGGCTATGATGATTTTGTTGGTTGCTATACGAAATAGCTGTGTTGAGGTCCTAGTGATAATAAGTACTAAAGGTTCCAAGGGGCTATTATATTGTGTTTATGTAAGTTATTTATTAATCTGGATAAAATTATATTATTTCTGGGACAACTGAAAAATATATGATCTAGGTTCTTCTGTACAAAATTTACATCGATCATTATCTAAAACTTTAAGTTTAAATAAATTTTTGGGGTAATAAGCATGGCCAAATCTCAGTCTAATGATTGTGTTTACTATTACGGCTGTTTGAAAAGTTTGACGAACTAAAATTATGAATGGTATGTTGTTTTCGGAGTTTAGAGACCGTAGTGTGGAATTATTTCTTCGTGATGTTTCATCTGAAACTGTGGCAAAGAATACTTATCGCATTTAATATTAATTCATAGTTGTCCACTGTTGAACGTAACCTCCTCGAAAAACTTCTATTAGGATCTATCTTCTTCTTCTTCAAGTGCCCTCTCCGCTACGGAGATTGGCAATCATCATTGCTATTCGTATCTTTGAAGCTGCTGCTTTAAATAATTGGTTAGATGTGCACTGGAACTAGTCTCTTAAATTGCGCAGCCAAGATATACGTCGCGTCGTCTTCCCACGCTTCGTTTGCTCTGAATCTTTCCTTGGATAATTAACTGGAGCAATCGGTACTTTTTCCCTCTCATCACATGACTAAGATATTCCAACTCTCTTCTCTTGATGGTGATCAACAGCTCCCGTTGTTTGTTCATTCTTCGAAGAACTACACTATTTGTTATTTTGTCTGTCCAAGGTATTTTCAAAATTCTTTTATATATCCATATTTTAAAGGCTTCTAGTTTATCGGTATTGTTTAAAGTAAAAGTCTCTAATCCGTACAGCAGTATCTAAAAGATGTAGCATCTAACCAATCTCATTTTCAGGTTTAAGTTAATGTTATGACTTCCCAGAAATTCCTTCATATTAACAAAAGCAGCTCGAACCCATCCAATTCTAGTTATTATTTCTTCTGTGATGTCATTTTTGTTGTTAAGTTCTTCTTCTTCTTCTTCTTAGTCGTTAACTTGATGCAGGTATCGTGATATCATGAAGCTATTAGCTAAATTTCCCAATGTTCCTCCACGTTTTTCTATCTTCTGCCATTCTAGCACATTCTGAAAATGGAGCGCCCATGGTAGCAACAATATTGTCCGTGTATCGTGTGGGAGATCTACCTCTATTTCTTTTGCCTTCTACTTTTCCCTGGATGGTAAGTTTTTCAAGACCATTTCTTCGAAGCACATGTCCAAAATAGCTTATTATTTGTTCTGATATTTGTGTTCTTAGTCTTTTCTTTATGTTTAGCTGGTCCAGTATGGATTCATTTGTTCTTCGGGCCACCCATGGTACTCTCAGCATTCGTCTCCAGCAGTACATGAAAACCTTCACATTTTACTCTTCTTCAACTAGTCTTGAGTAAAATGTCTTTTATCTTTCCTATCGGCCTCTCTTGGCCAACTCTTGTTTTTCCGACCCCGATTGGCTATTAGGTTTTCGAGGGCGGACGGGTCATTATTCTCTTTCCTTACTCTAAACTATTTTCTACCACGCAGAAGGAAGTGGGGCTCCACTGCGTTACTTTGCCCCAAGAAATATCATGAAAGATGAACTATCATGTTGTTATTAACACTTGTTCCCAAATATAGGGTCTATCTTGCGTATTTGCAATCCAGTTATAGTACATATCCTCTTTATGTCGTCAGTCCATCTCGTAGGTGGTTGTTCCCGGTTTTGTATACCAGCTCTCGGTCTACACTCCAAGATTTTTTTGGTCCATCTTTTATCTTTTATTCTAGCAATATGTCTTGCCCATTTTTATTTAATTTTAGCTATGTGTTTTATAGTGCGCTCTACACCACTTCTTTAATGAATTTCTTTGCTTCTAACCCTATCTCTTAACGTTATGCACAATAATAGTTTTTTCACTCTACGTTGTGTGACTTGTAATTTTTGTGTAAATATCCTTGTTAGAGTAAGTAAGCTATATGTAAGAACAGGCAAGACACATTGATTAAAGGCTCTTTTTCTTAAGCTGATAGGTATATCACCTTTAAAAGATGGCTCGGTACAAAATTCGTCATTTTTGTCTTTTAATGATTCATATTCAAACCTACTGTACGTGTTACATTACTGAGTCCATTCAATTATATCATTGGCATTCCATCGGCAAATTGAAGATGAGTAAGCATCCCACTATTGATATTTATTCCTTTATTTTTTCATTTAAGTGATTTGAAAGCATGTTCAAGTACAGTAATAAACAACATAAGCAACATACGGTAGCATTGTGTTTATATTTTCTATAATCTTGATCTACCTATGATCAATTCGACACTCTTCCAATGCTTTTTTTTTAATTGCCATATTGTCAGATTCCAGTAAGAGCCTAAGAAGGTATCCATTGAATTCTGACAGGCAACGGTGGGGGAAATCTTTTTTGGACATCTACGTCACGGAACAAGACACGCTGGCATCTTCCGGCCGAGTAGGTAACTAGACCAAAAGACCCCAGGGTAGTGCCGGATTAACCGTGTTCCGGCTAAAACCTTAACCACCGTTCCAGAGAGGTGGTCTTCCCACTCAATAAATAAATAAAATAAAAACTAAAGCTTTATAAATCACCATACCTAATACTGTAAATCAGAAAATGTTTTAGACGTTAGGCCATAAACTAATAAATAATATTAACCATAAATCCCTATCTCAATTTCCTCCTCTGTCCTCCTGCTCCTTTTTCTTTATCACCCCAGAAATCAGACAGTGTAATTCGCTCCATTATTTCTCTCCTCTCAACATTATGTTTACAATGTACAACAAAACGATCGGTATTACCGCTCCAATGACATATAGAACCTCATTTGAAACTGTCCTATATGCGCTAGATACCCTGAGAAGTAATTTCCTTTGCGAAGTATCCGCCAGCTTAGCGTATTTCGCAGTGTTTAGTATGCTAAATCACACGGGGGCAGCGTAGGTTACCACCGATTGAAAAACTCCATTTAGCACCTTTCTTTTGGTGCTACCCAGGCCTCCAATGTTTGGCATCAGCCAAACAATGCCTTTAAAAGTTCGGGTAGTTTAACTGAATCAAACGCTTTAAGAAAGTCTATAAACGTTAGAATGAGAAGTCTATTGTATTGAGTTATTTTAAATTATTGGAATTTTTTGTTCTAAAAGTTCTAAAAGTTTTATAGCTTCTGTAACTATTCCATCATCTCCCTGAGCTTTGGTGTTTTTTATTGTTTTTGTCCATAATTTAAGTCCATATTGCTGAAATATTGTCAAACCCCGGGTTTTGTACCTTTCGTCTATCATTTTGATTGATGTTATTGTAAATATTTATT